AAATTTAAGGGGGTCTGAATACTTTCCGTACCCACTGTATATATATATTTGTTATTATTTTATGATTTTGTGAAAGGGTATTAAGAGTATTATTATTATTATTGTTGTTATTATTATAATATTTGTATATATATATATGTGTTTTGTCATTTTATGATTTTCTTGAAAGGGGAAGTTAATAATAATAATTATTATATGTTATAGTTATTTGTATATTTTATACAGTATTTTTGTGATTGTTTTGAAAGGGGACATTGAATTTTAATATCATATGTAATGTCATATTTTAACCTGCACTTCACCATCTGATCTGTTAATATCACTGCTGTCGAATCTTCCTCACGGTCTCATTCTCCCTGCACATCTTTCCTCTGTCCTGTGCTGCTGACTGTGTGTGTGTGTGTGTGTGTGTGTGTGTGTGTGTGTGTGTGTGTGTGTGTGTGTGTGTGTGTGTGTGCGTGTGTGTGTGTGCGCGTCTTTGTGTGTGTGTGAGTATCTGTGTGTGTGTGTGTGTGCGCGCGTGTCTGTGTGTGCACGCATCTGTGTGTGTGCGTCTGTGTGTGTGTGTGTGTGCGTGTGTGTGTGTCAGTGCGGGCCAGTCGTATCCCGCGGCCCAGCATGAGTCAGGGCTGTAGTCGTGACACCAGTCGGGAGAGTAGCAGAGACACCAGTCCGGCTCGAGGGTTCAGTCCGCTGGGTAAGAGCCCAAAACCAGACCAGACCAGACTCCTGCGCATGTCTTTACTCACACTTCACTTATCTGAATGGGTTTGGCTTTAGGAGTTTGGATCTAAATGTTTCTCTTTCACCTTTAATTTCCCATGAAACTAGGGCTGAATGATATGACAAAAATATATGCTAATATTTTTCAGCCTTTTTATGATATTTTCATATACAGGTCAGTATCAGTGTTATTTTAGCATCGCTGAGATACTATTATAGTTTTAATTAGTTTTTTTAATTTTCCATTTGCATTTTAATTCTAGTTTAAGTTTTAGTCATTTTGTTGTGTGTTTTTGTCATATTTCTTAGTTTTTTAAATATCTGTATAGTTATAAATTTTTAGTTACATTTTCGTTATTTTAATACATCAAGTTTAGCTCAATAAGAATGCTTGCCTTGTCAGCTAGCTGAAATAAAATGATATTATATTATATTACATTATATTATTTGTATGTATTTTTTCATTTTAATGATTTTCTTAAAAGGTGAATTTGAATATAAATAATAGTCATAATAATTCTGTATATCATGTTAATATTGTTATTTATATATTTTACATATTTTTTCCTATTTTTATAATCTTCTTGAAAGGGAAGTTGAATTGAATTATTATTATTAATAAAATGACAAATTAGAATTTTTGTTTTATTTTATGATATTGTATTTCAGTTAACATTTATTTCAAGTAACAAAAATGTTTTTATGGTTTTAGTTTTAGGTTTAGTGAAATATAATAAACCTGGTTATTATTTATGCATTTGTTCTGAAATAGTATTAGAATATTTGATAATTTTGATTTTAATGCACCAATATAACAACACATAAAACAACAGCATTATATCATCTACATATATATATTTACTGCATCTTAATACATAAGAAAACTATGACATAGAGACTTCATGAACACTTTGAACTTGATGGCCAATTTAAAAGCCTATTAAAATTGTTGCTATATTCACAGTGTTGTCTAATTTAATATTGCTAGCTAAATCAATGCAAACATGTCATCCAGTCCTTCCTCAAAGTCTAAAATCTGACCAGTTGATTTAATATATTTCCTTTCCTATAACTTCTCTTCCTTTCACTGTGTTTGTGAGTGTGTTCGTAAGATAAAAAAGTTAGGAAGCTAAAAAAGCAAACTTTTTAGTTAGTAAGCTAAAAAAAAAGCTAAAACTGTCACGTGTCACCAGAAAAATAAGGTTTTGTTTCTGAAATGTGTGTGACCTGATCCTTCCCAGCATCCCACAGACACTCGCGCTCCACCAGCGCTCTGACGGCCGCTGGCGTCCTGCAGACAGGTGATTGCACGAGTCCGGGTCACGGCACCAGAATCTAGATCATCAGTGTTTTTAACAGGGCTCATGCTGAACCTGTTCAGAGGTGTATATATCAGTCACATCCAGGTTTAGAGCGAGTTTCAGCTGATTTAGACTCCTGTGTGATGAGCTCAAACACACGGTGGCACCAGAGACCAGCTCTACATTCATTAATGAAGCTTTAACACTGAATCAAACCAGCTCAGTTTCCCTGGATGTGAACTAGACGCTTGTTTTGCACCTTCGTAACTTTTTGTTTCATTTATGCTTGCTATATTTTTGTGCTTTCTTTGTTTGTTTAATTTAATTTTGTTTTATTTTTATTTAATTTAATTTATTTTTAGTGGAATATTATGTGAAGTTTTTATTTGTGTGAAAAAATATCAATAATCATATAATTTTAATATACAGTGGGGACCAAAAGTGTAATAAATTATATTTTGTATTTTTCTAATTTAATTTATTAAAAATTACATTATTAAATTACATGCATTTGACAACATGTATTTATTATTTCAGCCTTCTGATGATATTCATATGCAGATCAATATCAGTTTTTATTAATTTTTAAAATTATTTTATGTTCTTATATTTTCATTTTAGTTAACATTTTAATAATTTTGTAATGTGTTTTTGTCATTTTTATTAGTTTTATTTTTTTACTCACATAGTTTTTATGAATTTTTATTCAGTTTTAAATGTAGTTAATCACGTTAAGCTAATTGAAAACAAAAAATTTTTTAGCTGAAATAAAATACGTTTTTCTATATTTCATTTTATTTCAGATAATGATTTTTTTTAAGTAACGAAAATGTTTTTAGTTTTAGCTTAATATTTATATTTTAATATTTATGCATATTTTTTGTAATGGTTTTCATTTATTTATGTAATTCATGCATTCGTTCAAAATCCTAAAACTTTGTTTATTTCTGTGCTTTTTATTTCCAGGTTTGAATAATTAATCATTTGAATTAGATCTGAATCATACATTTTCAGCATTATTTCAGACTGTTGGGCTCCGTTGCATATTTGTGTTTAATTTTGAAAGTTCTGCTGTTGTTTTGACTGATGTTGTTTCATCAGTTTTCTGTCATTTCTTGATTTGTTTTCTTACATGCAGAATTTAGTTAGCATTATTTTCAGTCAAATCAATCTTTGTGGTTGTGTGCTGTGATGCTGATGAATGAAAAGCATGCAGTGACTGTGTTTAGTTTTACTTGACATTGATGTTGCATGTTATGTTATTAATCTCTCTCTCCGTCTCTGTCAGATCGGTTCGGTCTCATCCATCAAGCGCGGATCTCGGCGTCTGTAAACGCCATGCGGATCCTGAACACGGGCACGGAGGTGGAGGCGGCCGTGGCAGACGCTCTGGTGAGAATCACGTCCTCAATCTCCAGTCTGTCTGTGTCATCTGTCAGCATATTCCTGATGTGTTTGTCTTTACTTTCCCTCTGCGTTTGTCTGGAAACCCTTCAGCTTTTAGGAGACTCCAGGAATAAGGTAGTAGATTTATGGACACCTGATTGTGTGCATTCTGCTCTCAAAATGTTCATCATCATTTCATTTCATTTGTAGTTTCTTTAATGATTCAATCATGCCTGTGGCATTTCATACAAATGTATAATAAAAGATGAAAACGTCACAATGCAAAGAAGTCATAACGGTCCTAAAAAATAGCCTTCATTTTCTCAGAGAAAAATATTTTCACTAACGGTCAAAAGTTTGGGATCGGTAAGATTTTTTAATATTTTTGAAAGAAGTCTCTTCTGCTCCTTAACACTAGAACCGCCAGAGGTCGCTGCATACTTAAAAGCGCCAGCGGGTAAATTTTACCCACGCACATGACAACTGTATTTATATAGCTAAAGAACATATTATTTCACTGTATTATGCCACTGTCTTCACAAAGATGTGTCTAGAGCCATGAAATGATTATGTCTAGTCATCAACTAGATTTGTAGTTTCTTTAATGATTCAATCATGCCTGTGGCATTTCATACAAATGTATAATAAAAGATGAAAACGTCATAATGCAAAGAAGTCATAACGGTCCTAAAAAATAGCCTTCATTTTCTCAGAGAAAAATATTTTCACTAACGGTCAAAAGTTTGGGATCGGTAAGATTTTTTAATATTTTTGAAAGAAGTCTCTTCTGCTCCTTAACACTAGAACCGCCAGAGGTCGCTGCATACTTAAAAGCGCCAGCGGGTAAATTTTACCCACGCACATGACAACTGTATTTATATAGCTAAAGAACATATTATTTCACTGTATTATGCCACTGTCTTCACAAAGATGTGTCTAGAGCCATGAAATGATTATGTCTAGTCATCAACTATATGTTTATCCTGTTGTTTTATCTTCAAGACTTTTAATGCAGGCTACACTAATCCATAACGGTCAGTAGCCTAAGCTAAAAAACGGAAATTAGAAGGTAGTAGCCTAAATATTTGAGTGGTGTAATATTATAATACAATGTCATTAATCAATATATTAAGATAGCCCATGATATGAATGACTAAAACAGCCTATAGACAATAATGAGCAATAATAATTCACCACACTGCATATGAAGATGCAATGACAAATTCAAGCGCGCAGCTTCACCTAAATATTTATTAATTTGTTTAGTTATATCATTTATAATTTGAATAAGAGAGCAACTCCATTGAACTTTGGGTAATCAAAAATGGTTTTATTCATCACATCATAGATCAGATTTTCTTTGCTTCAGGAAACGGACAGACTAGAAAAGCAACACAGTAGCGAAGGAGAAACGACATGGCAAGACAAAAATTAAATAATTAAACCAAAGTTTGACCAATTAGAGTAACGTGAGGCTAAAACATGTAAATATGATATCTGGATCAGATGCTGAGCCGACCCAGGACGCATAACTTACCATCAGACTCTCCATCACTCATGCATTTAGTGTTTCTAATACCTACCTTCCATAGATCGCCTTTTTTTTGTCATTTTGACTTTATTTATGAAACTGATAACTGCTAAATCAGTGAGTGAAAGGCGTTGCCTAGAAATATACAATGTTAAAACATAAGCGACAAGAAAATGACATGCATTATATAGCGGGTAAATTTGACCCGCTGGCGCTTATAGGTATAAATACCCCGTTTTTTTGATCTGGTTTTATTGAAATAATTTTTAACAACATTGGATTGTAAATTACATAATTTTAGTAAAAGTCAATGACTGGGAGACGTGAATGTTTTATTTTAAATCTGTTACGTACATTTGAAAAACAGCCACGGTTAAAACTTCCCCCGTGGCGGTTCTAGTGTTAAAGCTAACTTTTTTTTTTGGTTAAAAATGATCCAAAATCAATTATTGAGCAATTACATAACCAGTCAGTGTTCAAAACTATCTCTTCTGTTGGTCTTTGCGGGTTTTTTTTGGACGTGAGCCGATTTACTTTTTTTGAGGAGCCGTGCCGATGCACAACCCACGTAAAGAAGATCATTCAGCAAATAACTGCAATTGCAGGTTTCAAACAGAGACGGCGACAAAGAGGCTAAACTTACAGACTGCAGCTTTAAGACTGCATTTATTTGATCAAAAATACAGCAAAAATTGTGAAATATTTTTTACAATTTAGAATAGCTGTTATCTATGTGAATATATTATAAAATGTAGTTTTTTAAATTAATTTAAAGCTGAATTTCCAGCATCATTACTCCAGTCTTCAGTGTCACATGATCTTCAGAAATCAGTATAATATTTGCTGCTCAAGAAACATTTCTGATTATTATCAATGTTAAAAGCAGTTGTGCTGCCCAATATTTTTGTGGTAAATTTTTATTTTTCAGGATTCACAGATGAATAGAAAGTTCAAAATAACAGCATTTATTTAAAATAGAAATCTTTTGAAACATTATAAATGTCTTTACTGTCACTCTTGATCAATTTAATGAGTATTTGCTGGCTAAAAGTATTCATTTCTTTACTGACCCCAAACTTGTAAATGGTAGTGTATGTTTTTACTTATTTCTTTTGATTTTGAGTAGTTTTCCCTGGCCGTGTGATTAACTTACATTCACATGCATGCAATTGTTCAAAAACATCCATGAGCATAAATCCTTTGCATGTCTCTTTTCTGTCAAATCTGTGTTAGTTCCTTTAGATGTTAGTTGCATGCATGGTGGCGTAGTCTGCGTAATATTTGACAAATGTGTGTGTGGTTTATGTAACTCGTGTCTCTGTGCTGTAGCAAAGACCGATGCGCCGGCGCTATGAATCTCCCGGCATGTACTCGGATGACGACGCCAACAGCGATGCATCCAGTGCCTGCTCCGAACGCTCCTTTAGCTCCCGTAACGGCATCGCCCCGCAGCACCTGCGTCAGACGGAGGACATGGCCGAGATCCTGAACCACTGCGCCAGCTCCAACTGGTCCGAGAGGAAAGAGGGGCTGCTGGGACTCCAGAGCCTCCTGAAGAGCCAAAGAGTCCTCAGGTACAGGCACCAGCAACTACACTGGCTATTAAATAATAATAATAATAATAATAATATATAATAATGTTAAAAATATTCACATATAATATTTTATAAAAAAATTATTGTAATGTTACATATGTTTATATATAATATTTCATTAAATTGTATTTTTAAATGATTAATAATAATTAATAATAATATATTTTTAATTATTATTAATAATATATATATATAATTTATTTTTAAATTAATAATAATAATTAATTATATAAATATATATATAGCATTACATTTTTTAAAGAAAATAAATATAAATGTTTATATATAATATTTTAATAATAATAATAATAATAATAATAATAATAATTGTAATGCTATATGTCTATATACAATATTTTATTAAATTGTATTTTTAAATTATTAATAATAATTATATATATATATATATATACAAATAGTATTAAAATAATTTTAAGAAAATTAAATTACTAATATCTGTGCACCTTCTTAATTGATTGGTTTGATAATTTACATTTTATTAATATATATTGTTTTAATTTTATAAAAAAAAATTATGAATAAATTAATTCCTAAGAGTCCTCAGGTACATTTGGCATCAACTACATTATTTTATATAATAATTTTATTTTAAATATGAATTACTAATATCCGTCTACATCTCTATATCTGTGCAATTTCTTAATTATTCAGTTTGATTATTTCAATTTTTAAATATATATTGTTTTTTTGTATAACATATCTTGCCCGACCGATAATTCGTTTAGCCAATATTATCGGCCGATATGAGCCGGTCGCCGATATATCGGTATCGGTGAATATGCTGTCGATATGAATAATTTTTTTACAGAACATATAACGCAGATTAAATGCTTCTGAATGGTGTAATTACTTAGTTTGTCCAGCAGAGCACGCTCCATTGTTTGCTACTGGCGACCCAGGTCAGTGTAGTGTAGATGCGCGCATGAGCTCAAACTTCACCCTAGTCTGCTGCTTCAAATAATCCACCCACCTGCACCTATATTTGGTCGCCACATTACAATGATTCTAATTCTTAGTTTTGCTTTATTGAGTTTTTACCAAAATGTTTAAACACACCACAACTCAAATATATATTGTTTTAATTTTATAAAATTTTTTTATGAAAAAATAAATTCTTAAGAGCCCTCAGGTACATTTGGCATCAACTACACTGGTTACTACGAATAAAAAAAAGGATATATTTTTATTTAAATATTTTCATTTTAATAAATACATTTTATTTAAAACATAAATGACTAATATCTGTCCAGAATATTTTTTTCCCAGGTCAGTGTAGTGTAGATGCGCGCATGAGCTCAAACTTCACCCTAGTCTGCTGCTTCAAATAATCCACCCACCTGCACCTATATTTGGTCGCCACATTACAATGATTCTAATTCTTAGTTTTGCATGATGATATGATGAATGGATGGTCCATTTTTAACAGCAGATTCAGTGACGTTAGAGACTAGAGCTGATCTGCGCATCACGGCACGTGTCTGTGGCGCATTAAAGCCTGTGTTACGGCCACCGGAGCTGATCGTGGCCACTCAGTCAGTGCTGGTGTTTATACCGGCCGCGTCTTGGCCCAGAACTCATGCTTATCACATCGGTCACATCACATTGCGTGGCGCGAAAATAATTTTATTTAAAAAAAATTAACAACATCAGCCCAAATGTCTATATCTGTGCACCTTTCTAGTTATTTAGTTTGATAATTTCAATTTTATAAATATACATTGTTTTAATTTTACTACACATTTTTATTAAAATATACATTACTAAATGTCCAAAAATTAAATAATAAAATTAATTTCTAATATCTGCAAAAATATCTATATCAGTACACCTTCTTAATCTTCAAGATTCAAGATTTTTATTAGTCACATACATGGTTATATGACAAATAAAAATCTTGAATCTTGAATCTTGAAAATTAAGAAGGTAATCAAAGGTGTACTGATATAGATATTTTTGCAGATATTAGAAATTTATTATAAAAACAGTACACCTTCTTAATTTAGTTTGAAATTCATAAATATTTACTTTATTAAAGTAATTTTATTAAACCCTACACAAAAATACAATATTTCTATTGTATTTTGTCGCGCCGCGCTGCTCGCGTCCGGTGTACAATAGAACCCATTATAATCAGTGATGTTGTCTACACTGGATGCAGTAAACTGATGCCTCGTTCTATTTATGACGTGCTGACACAAAGTTCAAATTATTTTCAACGGTCGCTTTGTCGCGTCCTGTTGCGGCGCAGACACGGTGTCAGCACAGTTTGTCAGTACAGTCAGTAACGTAGCAGATTGAAAAGTTACTTTCTGCAGTCCAATAGACGGCAGTGCGGTGGTGGCTTGAGTCTGTTGCATGGTGATTTAACGCTACGTTGTCACCTAGTTGGAGAGATTCAATAAACAATGTCTCCGTCTTTTACTCTCACAATGAGCTTATCATATTCATTTGCTACATTAGTAGGGCCCTATGATTTCCGCGATGCAGAAAACATGGATGGAATCATGGAATCTAGTCATAAAAAAACTGAATTTACTGTAGGCCTATAACGAGGAATTTCATGGAATTTGTCTTATTTTTGATAAATAAATCAAAAACAGGTCAGTACATATATATAGACTGTGTCTGTGAATATTAAACTGCAAAAAGACGATTTAAATATGAGTGTTCTGCATGTTCATTGGATTACCAGAAAATACACAACACAGAATTTGTGAAAAAAAAATTATTAATTATTATTATTTATTCATTTTATATGTTTACATTTGGAAAAGCTGTGCTTCCTGCATAAACCTGCCCCTGTTGGTTTGGCAGTAGCTTGCTTGCCCTTCACCGTTACCTTGTTTAATTTCTTAATTCAAGTTATATATATTTTGTTCTGATATTTTTGCAGATATTAGAAATTTATTATAAAAACAGTACACCTTCTTAATTTAGTTTGAAATTCATAAATATTTACTTTATTAAAGTAATTTTATTAAACCCTACATTACTAATATCAGCCAAAATCTATATAAATGTGTATTTTCTTAATTTAGTTTGATAATACACACACACACACACACACACACACACACACACACTCTCTCTCTCTCTCTCACACACACACAAACACTGACAATAAGATAATAAATAAATATGTATAAATAATATAAATAATTTTTAATTAAAAAACATTTTTTTATAAAAAAAATTATAATTCACTAATATCTGCCAAAATCTCTATATTGGTGCACCTTCTTAATTTAGTCAATTTGGTTGTGTTTTGTGCTAGTATATTAAAATAAAAAGTATAATAAAAACGCAGATGTCATGACGTGAGCGTGTCTGTGTTTCAGTCGCGTGGAGCTGAAGAGACTGTGTGAGATCTTCACCCGGATGTTTGCAGATCCTCACAGCAAGGTGACCTTTCATCATCTTCATTCATTCACAGTTTCTTTAAATAATGTTTGTTTCTTTTGGCTTCTAATGCTGATGACTTCTGTTCTGTTTTCTGTTCTGGTGTTGCTTTGGGCCGATGCTTCAGAGAGTAAGTGATTCAAACCTGGAAATCTTGTAAACAAATATCATAAATACATTTGAAAAACTTGGGAGCTGTTCACACTGGTGTTGTTTTAGTACCTTTGAGATTCTATTATAGTTTTTGAAATATTATTAATTAGTTTTCATTTTTGTATTTTCAGTTTTTTTAATTACATTTTTTTTATTCTTAGTTTTTTATTTTGTTTTAATTTTGGTTCAAGTTTTTAGAAATGTTGTTGTGTTACTGTCATTTTTGTTTTTTTATTTTGAATGTCTATATAGTTTTTATTAATGTTTAGTTCAGTTTTAGCTATTTTAATCACATCACATTAAGCTAAATGAGAAATATTGCTTTGTCAGCTAGCTGAAATAAATAATATTTAATTAATAAGTTAAAGTAAATATAAATAAGTATAATATAAGTATAATATAAACTTATATAAATAAGTTATAAGTAAAGTTATACTTATAAAATATTATATTATATTATATTTATATATATATATTGTCATGTTTTTAATTTATGTAATAAGTTGAATTTAAATATAAATAATAATAATAATAGTAATATGTGTGTGTGTGTTTTAAAAGTCTATGTAGTTTAACATTTTATTTAATGTAAAAAATTTAAATAAAAATATTATTATTTCATGCTTATCTTTAATTTAGTAATTTTTTTTATAATTTTTTGTTCACATTAAACTAAATGAGAAATATTGCCTTGTCAGCTAGCTGAAATAAATTATATTATATTAATAAAGTTATATTTAAAGTTCTACTTGCATAATACAATTATATTCTATTATA